CATCACCGGCAGTCCCATCGCGAATGCGGCTGCGACAGAAGGAATCCGGTGGCATTTCAATCCACCTTCCGCACCTCACTTCGGTGGCCTCTGGGAAGCAGCGGTGAAGTGCTGAGCTATAATTGCATGCTTGTCTGAATATTTTAGCATGTGATAGTAGAGACAATGTGATATAGAGACATTTCTGGATTAAATTACATAGATTCTTATAAACATTGTATCACGTTTATCATAAGTATCGTTTTTAATTTCAAATTTTAGATTACTTGCCTGATATAAATTTTCTATGTTTCTCTATCCTTTTCATATAGCTTAATTATCGTTTTTAAACAATTTCTATCTAGTGATGTTTTATGAAAATTAATAATTAATAACATCCTATCGTGTTATTGAATTGTAAATTTCAGATTACTTTTATCTAAAATATTTGATAGAGTTTCTATACTTCTGTATCATTTTCGTCAGCTCAAATATCGTTTTCAATTTCTATCTGACCATGTTCTATCAAAATTAATAATATTCTTTCATGTTTTTGCTTTGTAAATTTTAGAATCTGAAATTTAATCTTAAATTTTAGAATCTGAAATTTATGTTTAAAGATATGATAAAATATTATTAATTTTAATAAAACACACGACTAAAATAATTGATTAAAACAGATATTTAAGTTGTAATAATAAAAACGATACAGAAATGAAGAAAATATGTCACGTACTTTAAACGAGTTATCTGAAATTTACGATTTAAAAACATGATAGCATATTATTAATTTTAATACAACATGACAAGATAGAAATAGATTCAAAATGGTATCTAAATATGATATATACTATATGACGAAAACGATAGACAAATACAGAAAATTTATTCAATATAGCAGGTAAGTAATCCGAAATTTACGATTAAAAACGATATTTAAGATATAATAAAAACGATATAATGTTTATAAGAAACTATATAATTTCATCCAGAATGTCCCTATATGTTAGAATAAGATAAATTTTATGGAAAAATTATCGTATTGTATAATTGGCAATATAATGTGACATTTAGATTATTAAATAATTAATTACTCAATGACTTAAATGAATAATTAATTATATAACAACGATGGAATAACTTTTTTATAACATCTACTTATTTAAACATATAGAGTCATTTTCGGATTAAATTGTATAGATTCGCATAAATCATCCTGTCACTTATTTTATATTAAATTAAATAATGTGACAAAGCAACTTGTGTATACAGTTACTTACTCTATCGTTTAAATAAAATATAAAACGATATATTAACGATATATATTAAATGATATACTGTACAGTACTTTATTATGTATGCTGAAATCCTTAAAATAATTGTTCAATGATCTGAAGAATGTCATATTATATTGCCAACGATAAGATATAATAATTTTTCTATAATATTTGTCTTATTCAAACATATAGGTTTTGGATTAAATTGTATAAGTTCATATAAACATTTTTTTGTGTATTTCTTATTAAATTAATATAATGCAGTGATCTAAGTGACACATTATATTGTCAACGATTGAGTACAATAATTTTTCTGTAATATCTGTCTTATTCAAATGTATAGGAGACGTTTTCAAATTAAATTATATAGGTTAATATAAATATTCTTTCGTTTTTATTTCTTATTATTTCAGACAATGCAATGACCTATGTGACACATTGTATCGATAGAATACGATAATTTTTCTATAATATCTGTGTTATTAAAAAATATAGGGGCGTATTAATATTAAATTGTATTGATTCATATAAACATTCTTTCGTTATTTCTTATTAAATCAGATAATGTGATAGGATCATATAGAGAAGCTTGTGATCTCCGATAAGTATTCTATCGTTTATTTAATATAAGATGTAAAACGATAGAAATTTATAACTTTTCCATCTGTCATGATTTTAATGTCCGATAGATACGATAAATTCTGATAAATTATATAGGATTCCTATCAGATTTCTATAAATTTCTAGCGTTTTTTATCAAATTTTTTAAGCAGGGTAGTGAAAAATGGATGCATGTTTTCATTTTTTAAAATGCTGTAGACTTTTGAGAGTGATACATTCATTTGATTTGATATCGATCGATACTTCTTCTCAATTATTCTTCGAATAATTTCTTCCTCTACGATCATTTGCATATTTTGTCCACGGCCAGCATCTGAGCGATGAATGTTTATGCTGCCTGTTTTACATAATCCAGTATCTACTTTTCTAATAACCTTTGTATCTGGATGACGTCTATACAGGTAAACGAATTGCGATAGGTTGCACATTCTTGGTCAATGCAACAATCCACTTTTGCCGCTAGACGGTATGCTGAAATTTACTCGCATATACGTCATCCAGATGCGAAGGTTATTAGAAGACATCATCCAGATGCGAAGGTTATTAGATAC